TGTTGAAGTCTCGCCTGTGTTACGTCTTTTTTTTTTTGGGCCAACGTATGCTCCGTCTTTATAATCATACTTAAATAATTTTTTTCACTTTTTAAAGCGTACAAGAAATAGAACATTTGAAACGTCAGCAAAGAAAATGCGCTGTGATAAATTAATGTGAATTTTGTTGTTTATTTAATTAACAATTAACAAGTACATATGAAAACTTGTCTAAGAAGTTGAAAAGGCGTGATATCAAATTTGCTTAATTGCCGTGATAAAATTACCAGTACAGCCTTAATTAGCATACAAGATGGAACCAGCAGAGCCATTCATAATTTGGGCAGTGCAGAGTTTTATACATACATCCACATAAACATATGCACACACATATATCTGTGTGTGTGATATATATATATATATATGTATATATATAAAAGAGCGGGGGGGGGGACAGGGAGAGAGAGCCCTGAACAAAGAAATAGAGATAATATGGGATTGACGTAGTGTTCAATAGACAAAACCCACTTACTCGTGAATGGATCATGAAGCTGTAAACAATATACGAACATATAAAAGGAATAGTTAGAATTTACTACCTCTGTTGCTTAACATTAGAGCTATATAACTAATTTGTAGATGTCAAAAAAATTAGTTAAGTTGGTTATTTATAATAAATAAATATTATTCTCTCTAAAATATTCTTATTAATTGCATGCATTTAAATTATATTTTAACATTAACATGCAATCACATAGGAATTACTTAAGAAAAAAATAGATAAATATCAGAGACAATGTAGATTAAAATCTTATATTTATTACTGAATTAAATATTTAAGCCAGTTCTTATATTAAGAAGGGAACTGATAGTGATTTTGAGAACTTTGTATTTGATTCTATGAACCCAGAGGTAATATTATGGATGAGCTAGCTAGTGGCGACCAGCTCATGAGCAAAGACATCATACCCGAAGATAATTAATTGATGAATTTTGGCATAATCATATATATTCATTTAGGTATGTTATGTGGAAAAAGCTAGAATAATCTCTCCCTGTCCCTTTTTTTCTTAATTTTTTGATTATCTGTTTGGTATAAGAATGAGAAGAGTGGGAAAAAAAAAAAAAGAAGTAAGGAGAGGATATGAATGGGTCTTCACATTCTACCCAAGCATGAGATATTTTACGGTTTTCAATGTAAAATCAAACATGCTCAAAATATAATAAAGCACATATCGGTTTCCTAGAGCATGAATATATATGCAGGTGATAACGACATAATCATTTAGCTTCAATATAAGCTCGCATACACAACGTCTTCTTTCTTTACATTATTATTATTCTATAAAGATAAAACCAACTAATAAGAGGATGCACTTGGATGGATAATACTAGTAATAGTTTAGGAAGCCAGTTAGATATTTATTAGATATTTTGATTACTGGTTACTCCTTCGTCCTTAATATAGGACTCAATTTTGAGTTGATTTTGGTCCTAAATATAAGACTCATTCCTCATATTTATCAATTTTCTCTAAATTACCCCTATGAATACTCCCTCAACTATAATCAAGTAGAAGAGGAAGAGGAGGTATTAAGAAAGATGATTATGGTGTTTTAGGAAAAATGTGTCACTTTTCTTATAATTAACTAACTTACCTAACTTTCTTAATCTAATCAAATTAGTTAAATGAGTCTTATATTAAGGACCGGAGGAGTATTTAAGATGGTAAGTTCACTTGATCATCGTCTGTGAGCCAATCTATTCGGTCTCTATTTTAAGGTTTTTTGTTTAGCATTCAGAGATCTTCGCTTGAAATTTAATAATGGGAGACGTCCTGTCTACTGCTGTGCCAGGTATAATATTGCTCCAATTAAGTCTGAAATTAGATTCAAACGAAGTAATTATTATGCTCAAAGTGATAGGAAACTTCTTCTAAGCAAAGCAAAAATTAGTGTAATGATGCTAATAGAAAGGCAATGATTATTATTAGTTCGATGCAGGATCGTGGTTAGGCCACCAAATGATTTCAGTCTTAGGCGGTGAAAGTGCAGATTTTTAAGACTAGACTCGTATTAGACCAGATAAAATTTAAATATTAACCAATGGAGATTGGAGATTGGATCTAACCAAAGGAGCTAGTCCCTCACAACGTGGCGAACCAATATTTGAATTTTTATTAAGAAATGTGTTTACATTTAATGCCTGACAGTGTGTCAAATAGAATTCCCTGCAATAAAAAGATACCTATATTTAAAAAAAAATTAAATATTTATTACATTGCTCACAAATAACTTATAAATAATATTATATATATTAGAAGTATTGAATAAATAACTTGTCGAGGTTTAGAAAAGCAGTCATTCTTTATGAAACGTGTCGCGAATTATTTTTTCCCACTGAATGCGCCCCCAGTATTTAAATATAATATATATATTTTTAATAATTTAGACCAAAATAAATATCACAAAAACTCCCTATATTTAGGAGAAGAAATAAAGGGAATGTGGAAGGTGGAATTAGAAAGTGGGCAGACAAATGGAGTCACAGGAGGCACCCTCTCGCCCTTATCACGGGCGTCGAAGTCAATGTGGATCCTCCACTTCTCCCATCCCATTTCCTCGTTTTTCACCTCTTTATTTTGTCCTCTTGTTCTGCTTATAGCTCATAAGGGTGAGTATTCGGTTTTTCGGTTCAGTTATCGGTGATAATTGAATTAACCAAATAACCGAATAGAGCAAATTTTAAACACCGAATCGAAACCAATAACCTAACTAATCATAACCGAATTAATCGAAATATTTATATTCGGTCAACCGATTAACCGAAATATATAAATATGAAAGTGATTTTAAATTAATAATGATAATAAAACACAATTACAACCATTAATTAATAAATATTTCATCATTTAATGTGATTTATTACAATAATATTTATTATAACCATATTTATTGAATATAAATATATTTAAAGAGTTTACATAAATCCACATATATATTTATTATAATAATATTTATTAAAAATAAATATATAATATATTTATTTTGGTTTTTCGGTTATAACCGAATTCTTTTTCTACTAACCGAACTGAACACCAAAACTGAATTATTACAAAAATAAAAACCGAATATATAACCAAAAACCGAAATAACCGAATTGAAAAACCGAAATTAAATTCGGTTTGGTTTAGTTTTCGGTTACGGTTCAATTTTGCTCACCCCTAATAGCTCAGTTGCACGTGTCACTGTCATAAAAAGTACTACTCTATCGTTGGATCCTTTTAACTAAATTTTACAGTTTACAAAAAAAATTAAAATTAGTTAAAAGCAATTAATATGTAGCAAATACATTTTTTTTTCAAATATACCCCTATATAAATGGATAAATATAAGAGAGTAACAGTGAGATAAGTAAAGAAAGAGAATGTATTAAATACATTAAATTAGAAGTAAAATGAGCAATATCATATTAAATGCTCAGACAAACTCAAAGAGGATTTTATAAAAAGGGACAAACCCATTCAAAAAATTGGATCTTATAATAAGGGACAGAGGGAGTAACTCCACATATCAAAACCCATGTTTTCCCAGAAATATTGCAATTTTTTTCTAATAAAATATCCTCTTATTAGAAGTAATACTACCTCCAGTTCTAATTATAAGAGCCAGTTGACTAATTTAAGGAGATTAAAAAAGTAAGTTGAGTTAGTTATTTGTCCTAAATAGGTGTTGTCTTTCCTAAAATATCTTTACTAATCAAGTGTATTGACTAGAACTATCATTGTTAGAAGGGTTACTTTGGAAAAAAAAAAGTATAAATATGAGAGACAAAGTGGATTGGAGTCTTATATTTAGGATCAAAATAAAAATCAAACAGAGTCTTATATTAAAGACCGGAGGTAGTAATATTTAAAGCATACCAGGTACAAAATGTGAACATTTTTTCTAGTAGAATTTGAATTTTTATTTATCACGTTCATGAGTGATTAATTCACTTCACTAGACTCAACAACCATGTTTCCCCCCCCCCCCAAAAAAAAAAAGAGCATGTCATTGCTTTTCGGCATTAATGGATATTGACTAAAAATGGCCTGAACAAATAATATTGGGTTGGATCCTATTGATGGTCCATGAATATTCTGCTCTTTGAAAGTGGATCATGTTTCAAGTCCCCACCATCAAATGGCTTACAATAAAAGCCCAGTTACCTAACTAATCTGTTTAAATTCCCGCAGAAAACCATGAAGTTGTGTTGTTTGTAACACACCAGTACTGTAAAAACTACATGTACTCATGTCGAATACATAAGATGATACTAGTTTCAGTAATAAATATAAGAACCAGACAAAAAATTATTTTTATCTTAGATATAATATTTTAGTCTATTTTGTTTTTAAAAATTTATGTTTTTCTAAAAGTATCTTTATTAATTTCACAATGTACATAATTAAAAAGAATATTGTAAAAAAAAACGTGTTTGTTACATAAGTTTGAAAGTGAAATACTGCTCTTTTTGCCTGGGGCATGACATCTGATTTAATCAGCCCTCAAAAATTTTTACTGAAATGAAGTAGTAAATACAAATTCAAACAACTGTTGTAAGTATAAGAATATCAATTGTAATTCATTGAAAACAAGTTATAAAACTTAAATGTCTTACTTATATTAAAATAATGCGTATCTGTTGTGTTTTATAATTCTGGGAACGTAAGGTTTGCATTGATATCATTTTTCAAAGGAATTTATTAGAGGCTCCAATATGTATTTTTTCTTAGATTAATCTAATTATATAATTATTTAATATTAAATAAAATATAAACATATAAGTACAAAAATAAAACGAGCTTCGCTAACCACCCTGGGTTAAGTCCGGCCCGGCCCGCTTCGATGCTGAAAAATTGAAATGGGAAATATCTGTAACCTGATCCAACGGCTCTTAACAATTCGAACATTCTGGAAGAAACCGAAACCCTATAACCATACAATGTTTAGCCCGCTGACTCTTCAACTTGCCTTTGAAGCTGCAAGGTTTGCCTGGAGGCTGTGGTTTTGATCCTCTCTGGTACTCTTTGCTTCTCGCCAACACAACCAACGTAGAGCAATGGCCGGCAAAGGAGAGGGTCCTGCTATTGGCATCGATCTAGGAACCACGTACTCATGCGTCGGAGTCTGGCAACATGACCGTGTCGAGATTATTGCCAACGACCAGGGTAACCGGACTACGCCGTCTTACGTGGCATTCACCGACTCAGAGCGTTTGATCGGTGATGCCGCCAAGAACCAAGTTGCCATGAACCCTACGAACACCGTCTTTGGTAAGATCTGCTACCCAACCTTCCTTGCGTTGAACTTTCTATTACTGCCCCTGTTTGCTCATTGGGATCCGAGTTCCCTTCTTAGATTCAATGTGATTGCAGACTTGCTCTTACGTCCGTTGGTCGTGACTTTAGTGATAGTTATATTAGATAAATGATTTTGAAACTACCAGTTTCAATTTCACCTGATCCAGTGGTTGTAGCTATTCGCTGTATTTGTTGCTTCATTATTTTAGTTACTTGCCTTTGTTGTCAACTGTCTGATAGAATAGATCTAGGTTTCTTGCAGTTTTCCTCTTATGATCTGTTTTTGTCTTTAAGTCTAAGACATCCCGACTATGTTGATCATACTAAAATGAAGCGGTTAGTGATGAATCTAATGCTGGAATCTGCCGTACTTGTTAGTGGATTTGAATTTTTTTTTTTTACCCACACTGAAATTTGTGTAATGCTTTGTACTTCCCGATTTCTCTTGTACTGAATTCATGATTTCATAGTTTATCATAACTTTCGTGATGGACAATGTATTGATGATTTCATTTCATCAGATGCGAAGAGGTTGATTGGTCGTAGATTCTCCGACGCATCTGTTCAAAGTGACATCAAGTTATGGCCTTTTAAGATCATTTCTGGCGCTGCTGAAAAGCCAATGATCTCAGTCAACTACAAGGGTGAAGAGAAGCAATTTGCTGCGGAAGAAATATCTTCAATGGTTCTGATGAAGATGCGTGAGATTGCTGAGGCCTACCTTGGCTCCGCAATCAAGAACGCTGTGGTTACTGTCCCTGCTTACTTCAATGACTCCCAGCGCCAAGCTACCAAGGATGCTGGTGTCATTGCCGGCCTTAATGTCATGAGAATTATCAATGAGCCTACGGCTGCTGCCATTGCTTATGGGCTTGACAAGAAGGCAACAAGTGTTGGCGAGAAGAATGTCTTGATTTTTGATCTGGGTGGTGGTACTTTTGATGTTTCTTTACTCACTATCGAAGAGGGTATCTTTGAGGTGAAAGCCACAGCCGGGGACACTCATCTCGGAGGTGAGGATTTTGATAACAGGATGGTTAACCACTTTGTGCAGGAATTCAAGAGAAAGAACAAGAAGGACATCAGTGGCAACCCCAGAGCACTTAGGAGGCTGAGAACTGCATGTGAGAGGGCTAAAAGAACACTATCTTCCACTGCGCAGACCACCATTGAAATTGATTCGCTGTATGAGGGAATTGATTTCTATGCCCCCATCACTCGTGCCAGATTCGAGGAGCTTAACATGGATCTCTTCAGAAAGTGCATGGAACCAGTTGAGAAATGTTTAAGGGACGCTAAGATGGACAAGAGGAGTATTCATGATGTGGTTCTTGTCGGTGGATCCACAAGAATTCCCAAAGTTCAGCAACTTCTCCAAGATTTCTTTAATGGGAAGGAGCTCTGCAAGAGCATCAATCCTGACGAGGCGGTTGCATATGGTGCTGCTGTCCAGGCTGCTATCTTAAGTGGTGAAGGCAATGAGAAGGTCCAGGATCTTCTGCTCTTGGATGTGACCCCTCTCTCACTTGGCTTGGAGACTGCCGGTGGGGTGATGACTGTGTTGATCCCCAGGAACACTACTATCCCAACAAAGAAGGAGCAGGTTTTCTCAACCTATTCTGACAACCAACCTGGTGTGTTGATCCAAGTCTATGAAGGTGAGAGGACTCGAACTCGGGATAACAATTTGTTGGGTAAGTTTGAACTGTCTGGCATTCCTCCTGCTCCTAGAGGAGTCCCACAAATTACAGTGTGCTTTGACATTGATGCCAATGGTATCCTAAATGTTTCCGCTGAGGATAAAACTACTGGCCAAAAGAACAAGATCACCATCACAAATGATAAGGGCAGATTGTCAAAGGAAGAGATTGAGAAGATGGTTCAAGAAGCTGAGAAGTACAAATCTGAGGATGAGGAGCACAAGAAAAAGGTAGAAGCAAAGAATGCGTTGGAAAACTATGCATACAACATGAGGAACACCGTGAGGGATGAGAAAATTGCTGGAAAACTTGATCCAGCTGACAAGAAAAAGATCGAGGATGCCATTGAGCAAGCTATCAATTGGCTGGACAGCAACCAGCTTGCAGAGGCAGATGAGTTTGAAGATAAGATGAAAGAGTTGGAAAGCATATGCAATCCTATCATCGCCAAGATGTACCAGGGTGGTGCTGCGCCTGACATGGGTGCTGCTATGGATGACGATGCGCCTCCTTCTGGCGCAGGTGGTGCTGGCCCCAAGATTGAGGAAGTCGACTAAATGTTGTTGCTCAAATTTCCATGTTTTGCATCTGATTTATTTTATTTTAGGTCTTGTATTTGTTTTTTGCTCTTTTCAGATACAAGCATTTAATTCTGCTGCCGGAAGCCACTTTTAGGCATAACGTTTTATGATTTGTTTGGTTTTCATCGGACAACAGGGCACTGGATTAATTATAATATATTCTGCTTTGAAGTAGCTCGCCTAAGTTGTGTTGCTCGAGTGTCTATTTTATTTTCAAGAGAGTTGTTATGAATTTACTTAATGTTCATCTTTTGATGTGAGTTTGATCGCCAGTAATAGCAAGTATATGGACTTGAGAATGTCTTATTCATATATTTGGTATTGGTCAACCTATCCCTATTTGCCCTTGGGTGAAACGAGCAGCCCATAGATCGTAAATGTAAAATTTGTTCTTTAGATATAAAATTCATTTTTAGTATGGTTTATACTATAAAATAAGTCTTATATTTTAGGATCAGAGGGGCTAATTTCTATCACTTTTGAGGAGGGCGGGGCATCAAATAATTTTGTTGTTGTCTTCGTTTTTAATTTGCATTAATTTTGATCCTTAAAGAAATTATTTGCATAAATATATTTACTTTCTGAGTTCTAAACTTTGATCCTGCAACGACAGAGAAAAGACAGAGAAAGATGGGGAATTAGCAGCCGAATTAGAGAGAGGCAAAGGCGGCGCAGCGGAAGGGGTGAGGGTGACGGGTGAGGGGAGGGCCAATAGGAAAAAGGAAAGGGGAGAATCGCCAAGTACAAACATCAGGTCAGGCGGCTTTGCAATTCCGAATATTCTGGTCCCCATAATTCCCCCGCATACATCCTCCATAAATATTAATATAACCCTCTCATTTAATTAATTTTTGTTACTGTATTTAATGTTTTTAATCTCATAATTTAAGAAATGCGTTGAAGCTAACTTTATATTCAGACAAAAGCTGCATGTAATTGACATAAAATACAATGGTTCTTCGACACAAGTATACTGCTAGTGTTTTTTTTTTAATATATTCAATTTTTAAGAAATAAAATCTACTCTCTAATAAAATATAAGACTTAATTAATCAATTCATGAAAATTAAAAAAAAATTGATTAAGTTGTTGTTTGCTTTATCACATGAGAATTACATGTCATATTCTCCTGCCAATTGGACCATTTCTTCACAGTTAGTCATTCCTAACATTTTCGACCTTATGACTGGACGTTAAAAAACATATTGAAAAAAAAAAACTAAATATCATTTAGTTACAAAGCCTCGACGATTTCTTCCTCATGAAAATTAAAAAAAATTGATTAAGTTGTTTGCTTTATCACATGAGAATTACATGTCATATTTCTCCTGCCCAATTGACCATTCTTCACAGTTAGTCTTCCTAACATTTTCGACCTTATGACTGGACGCTTAAAAACATATTGAAAAAAAAAAACTAAATATCATTTAAGTTACAAAGCCTCGACGATTTCTTCCTCCTCAAATTAATCACTCTTAATATTTTCATCTCATTCTTAGATCACTTGATAATTTTTTTTTTTGCCACACATTTAAGTTGTCTCCTGTGGCGATATTTGAACTAACAATATCTTAATGATATCATTCTTCGGGTGCAGGACCAAGGAAGCAAAAGATATACTGATCCGATCTTTAATATAAATATTAGTTGTAAATATAATTTTTATTTTTCATATTTATTATTTTTTAAATTATCCTTATTAACTCTCAATCATAATTAAGTAAGAAGGAGAGGAAAAATATTAATAAAAATGATTATGATCTTTAAAAAAAGCATAGCACATTTTAATAATTAACTAACTTATAGAACTATATTAAATAGTAAGGACAAAAGAGGAGTGGCAAATACTACCATGAATAAGAATTGTCACTCATTTCACTAAGCCGGTGTTGAATTTTTATACATCAAACGTCAGGTTCGTTTTGGTGCGTGGTATTCAAAATACCCTATTTCCTAGTCTCAATCATAATTATCATTCTCAGGTCAAAAAAGTCATAATCATCATTCGACTGAATGATCATATGTCAAAGGTATCGATTCACGTGTTTCTTTCCTACTTCAGAATTCCATAAAATACCCCAATAATAATCTCATTAATACAGACAAAATGTTTATAGATATCACAGAACAAAAGTTAGTAAAATAATGATGAAACAAGGACCATTCTAGCAACTAACAACCCTACAGAGTTTTTCCCAAAATGCCTAGCGTCTGATCTCAACCTCAAGTCAACTTGAGATCATTGCCACCTAGATGAGGACGAAGACAAACGCGCACTTCGTGTTCTTGAGGTTCTGCACTGAGTTTTGGCACCATAATCTCTAGAACCGAACCTGGCCCATCATAGTATGCTTCTATGTTTGCATCTTCCGGAATTCTGGTCGACAGTGCAATTTCTCTTACAAACTCCCCGGGAGGACAGTGCTCACACGACGGATCCGAAAGCTTGAAAGTTCTGTCCTGTCTCTTGATAAACGGCTTTCCCGATGTGCTAACACAGGACACCTTAATGATCCCTCTAGTGAGAGTGTTCCTCCAAGAGACTTTGACGCTCCCCAGATCCACAAAGGGCAAGCTGATAATGATCAGGTAGCTTCCTTCATCCTCGTAGATTGTTTTCGCCGCTGTTACGGGTCCATAAACATTCTTCATCACCCCACTAAAGTCACTCAACCAGTGTGGCTCACTAGGATGCATTTCCATGTCTGGAATCCGATCTGATGGAGGATTCACAGCCAAGTAACATTCCTCCTTGTTTCCAGGAGGGAAAAAGTCCTTCCGCCTCTTGCTGCCCACAGTAGACAGGTCCATCGCATCACCATTACTATGGTTAGCTGGATGAGTTGATAAATTCAGCCCAGATCCATTCAGCAGCTTCTTTGAGGGCCCATTGGAAGCATTCTTGGTTGTGGGATGTGGTCTCTCGAGCTCAAAATCTGTGTTGGGGAGATTTCGCCAGGTACTGAAGTCACTTGCCTCAAGAGGGATGATGAAATTCAAGTCCCTGCCTGTGAGTTCCATCCACCTTTTCCGATCATCCTCATCAAGACCCATGAGATTAGGGGAAGGAACAACTTCAATGCCATGCAGACACTGGGGGTTTGAGAGTCCCCTGTAATGTTTTCGTTGCATCCGGTGGGATCGAACAAAACCCTTTTCGACGCTAAACGGAAATGGACGCTCTCCCTGGCGAGAATGACCATTCATGTAACTCCTTAGCTGCATCTTACCCAGTGCATTCTCAGGCCTCTCCTTGAAAACCCACATGTACATGTTTTCCATGTCATGCTGAACCATGAAAACATCAAGCTTGAGATCTGATTTGTCAAACCCTGTAACACCATTGCCGTCCCTGACAATCTTGGCCTTGGACTTGTCATTTAACGCAGGCTTGAAGTAGAAACTGAAGAAGAACCAAGCACCCCATATACTATCAACCCGCTTGGCAAATTTCCTTCCACTTTTGGGAATGTTAAGGAAACTCTCAGTCTCATAGCCTTGAGTTCCGAGACCAACATCCAAAATATCACAAGCATCAGAATTCCATGGCTGTGGGGGAGGACTGCGTTCTGCTGAAAGAGGCAAATTGATATCTGGTGGACCTGAAAGAATGATCTGGCGATTCATCTCCAAATCGAGTTCCTCATGGGAAGAAGCACTTGAATCCATGGATAAGAGCGTGGAAGGGTGATGATTCTCCATAGACAAAGATGTGAGACGCGAATCACCCATGCTACCTCATCTGGCTGATGAGTTGTATTGCTGGTCGGTTCAATGTTGGCATCGCAAAACAATTCAAGAAAACAGCCGTATGAAAACCTTCATATTAATCCCCACTATATCTCCCCTCCATCGACGCCCTAGATTTATTAATCACATAACAAAACCCTCACACACCCACGTATAATGAAAGAGGGAGAGAAAAGAAATGAAAGAATCCAACAAGATAAACTCCAGAAATTTAATCTATGAGATAAATTAGAAGAACATCTGTATACTTTCAAATATACATATATTTTTCAATTAGGGTTCTATGAAGGAAGACCAAGAGATGAGGAATGGACATGGATAGGGCGATATAAGTCTCTTCAATCTCTACTCAGGGAGAGGGAGGAGGAAGTTTCGAAAACGCTACAGGAATACTACATCTAAACCAGGCACAAGAATTTCTATGAATCCTCCAAAATCAGGTGGGAAACAGAGAATCAAGACCCTCAGATCCATAAAGATGAAATCCGAATTCTATTTCTTTTCGGCCGACATATTCTTTGAAAACTGAAAAGGAAAAGGAACTAAAAATACAGAGACCCAATGAGAAAATCAGAGGGGGATCTTTAAAGATTACCTTTTAGGATAAGCATCGGAGAAGCGAGAAGAAGAAGAAGAACATCCACAGCCGACGATGATGATATTATCCATCAAGTCATCGACAACCATATTTCCCACTCCTGACCTTTCACTATATTTTTGCCCAGAAAATAATCAAAACACCGATTTTTCCTCCTTGTTTCTTCTTCCTCGATCCGTCAAAAGAAACAGAGAAGAGTATGAAGGTGTGAATAGAGGAAAAAAGGAGGGCCTGTGGGTTGCGTCTCAATATAACAACAGGTTTCCTGGGATAAAGCCTTCACTAGATAGCACACACCTCGTACCCTCGTTTGTTAACGGTGACGGTGCACTACTCTTGGGTTCCTCGTTTCCAAATTAGAAAAATCAAAAAAGTTTCTTGCTTTAATTTTAGATTCAGACTCGTTTAAACTGACCCCTAAAGAGACGCCAACACCGAGCTCATGAAGTATCAAAATAAAATCATTAATTAAATGGATTAGAAACTAAGCATTGATACTGATATCCATTATCCAGGCCGTGGATGTTTCTGTGTAACTTTAAATCCTTTGCAATACTGCTTTGATAATACCAATTTAAATTAATTATTTAAATAAATAAATATCTTCTTTCTTATAATATTTTTACTAATCATGTGTATTAGTTAAAATTATCGTGCAGATACTATAAGAACTACTTTTTAAAAAAATAGTTAAATATAGAGATAAAGTAGGTTAAAGTTCTTATATTTATAACTAAATTAAAAGTCAAACTAGTTCTTATATTAAGGGTTGGAAGTAGCACTCTATAAGAGAGAGATAATTACATTTTTTATGGTGTAATTACTTATAAATAAAATTTGAAAAATCTTAATCCCTCGTGTTTTTAAAATAAGAATTTATCTCCTAGATTTATCGTTTTGCTTGGCTGCTTCACTTCACTGGTGAACACGCGCACACCTATGAATTTAATGTTACATGGGAAATTTTTTAATTTGCATAAATTTATCTATGCATTGAGGAGAAAATATTGGTCAGAAAAGAAGCGGAAAAAAATATTGTGAATATACTACCTTCGGTCCTAATCATAAAACTTCATTTATAATCTGCAAATGAGATATTATAGTATTCTTCCGGTCCTTAATATAAGACTTATTTAACTAATTTGACTAGATTAAAAAAGTAGGTAAATTAGTTAATTATAAAAAATATAACATGTTTTTCCTCAAATATCATAATCATGTTCCTTAATATCCTCCCTCCATCTGGTTGAGAAAGTATCCATAAGGATAATTTAGAAAAAACTGATAAATATGATAAATAGGTTTTATATTTAATACTAAAATCAATTCACTAATTAGATCTTATATTAAGAACCGAAAGAATAATATTTTAAATTTAAATAGAGATTTGAAAGAGATGGGCGGAGGAAGTGCGGGGGGCTGATTGGTGGAGTGGGGCTATCAGAGGGCTGATAAGGGGAAAGTGGGATTACTTTGGCGGTGGCAAGCGATGCATCGTTGGGTTATGTTGCGTGGGAGATATTTTCCATTTGGGGTTTCTCAGGTTTGACAAAGGGCGGCTAGGGTTCAATTATCTGCTTATAAAATTTCTATAATTGCTGCTTTTATACTTTTTTTTTATTATATCTTATGTTTACTTTAATATAAGTCACAACTTACAATGTTTATGCCACCACGCACCTATAATTGACATTAGTATAATCCCCCATTCCAACTTTTAATAATTCCCCCTTTCCAGCTCACCACAAAATTGACCCCCCTCCCCTACCCCCTTCACATGCTTTATTTTGTTTTTTAAACTATTAAACATATAATTTTTTTTTTATTGAAAGTGCCTTCCAAACCCTATTGTTTGTCTCGATAAAAATTCAAGACTCGGATCGCTACACTATATTATGAAAAATTAGTTTCTTTCACTTAAACTTTTTTTACACACTATTTTAAGATTTTCCAAAACTTCTATAGAATTCTCATATCTCTAGTAAATATAAAGGAAAAGAAGAATGGTTTATACGATGAAAGGCAAATTCAACAATAATATGAATTTGAGAAAAATTTAAAAAAATAATTTGAATTTAAATAAGAGGATGATTGAAGATAAAGATAACCTCCTAGCTTTTTTTTTTAACGAAATTTCAATTTAAATTTCAAATAAAATGATCAAATCTAAGTCATGTTTAGATTTTTTGGATCTTAATTTGTGAATATGAAAAGAAAAAAGTGGGAATATTTTACAAAAAAAAAAAAAGAAACAGAAGCCGCAAAAAGGTTAGAGAGTGTCTTTGAAATAAAAATTTAAACATAACTCTCTAATTTTTTGAAAGTGAAGATTTAATTCGAAAATAAAAAAAAGAAGTTTAAATAAATCTAGATTAAATGGTTTGGGTTTCATTTTAATTTTAGGGGCGCGAGTAAAAGAAAACAAAGAAAAGAAAGTATAAAGAGGCTTGAGGCAGAAGAGTTTTTTTTTTTTTTTGGGCCAAAGAGGCAGAAGAGTTTTGATTTGTAAATAATTATAGGCGGCGTGATGATGAGATGATTGGAGGAATCATATAGCCTTTCCTTTCTGCCGAACGCCGTAGAGACACTCTCGTTCCGTATCATTTCCGCCTAATACGCTACACGCGCATTCCTTCCCTTCTTTAGTCGTATTCCGTACGAGGTATCCCTTTTCTTGGGCTTCCGCCGGCCCATTCCAAATCATTCTCCAGTCTTCCCCCTGTCCTCTTATCTTATCACGCCCCACGCGAGTTCCCTTATTCCCGCCTTTCTCAATACGTGGTCCCCCAGAACGTTTCATATCCATAGCAAAGTATTCATATTTAATCTTCAATAATATCTAAAATAAATTTGTTTTTGCTAGAAAGATACTCCTTCAGTCCTTAATATAAGACTCATTTAACTAATTTGATTAGATTAAGAAAGTTAGATAAGTTAGTTAATTATAATAAGTATGACATGTTTTTCCTAAAACACCATAATCATCTTTCTTAATACCTCATCTACATCTTCTACTTGATTATGGTTGAGAGAGTATCAATAGGGGTAATTTAGAGAAAATTGATAAATATAAGAAATGGGTCTTATATTTAGGACTAAAATCAACTCAACAATTGGGTCCTATATTAAGAACTGAAGAACTACATATATTTAGCAAAAGTAAAAGTTACCAAAATTTACACAAAAATTTTTATTGAAAGGTGTGTCCACGTTTGTTACCTGATAATATTTTGAACAGTAGTACCTCAAATAAAGAGATACTCATGCCTAGAAAAATAAAATCACACAATTTTCTCATTTGTTTTCAAAATATGCTAAAACATTGATACTAATTATAAAATACGCATAAAAATTATTCAATATTGATTGTTTTTGCAGCCGGATAAAAACGGCTGATAAAAGAACGTTTTTTATGTAAACGAAATATATGAGAATATTTTCATAATAAAAATTACATGTATTATTTTGGTAATATAACATTAACTGGCAGTCCGACAGAGAATATTTACTTTTCTTAAATTATTGGAGGTATAATATCCCAATACTGCATGCCAGCCACTTGCGTATATTGTTATTGTGAACTGAAAATACCACGGCCTTTTATTTTAGATGGTCGCTTGAAGCTTGAGGGCGAATGCGATAAAATGGGATGAGTTGAAATTTTCAAAGTCAGCGGAGTAAAAACGTGCTCTGATTTGTTTCCTCACAGGTCCCATGCTTGTCGAAAAATATTCTCTCCTGTCTGCTTGAGCTAATTTGAATCAATTTAAAAATGTAAATAAATTAGTTATATATTTAGCTGTGTTGAATTATGCGTGAAGCTAATTAATTTAAAAGACTGATAAATATAAAAAATAAAATAGATTAAAGTTTTACATACAGAGCAAAATTTAACCTCCTAACAGCTACTGCTTTGGTCCCTTTTAGATCTAATTAGTTTAAGAAGTATGTTAATATTCATTGAAAGTAATAAATATACAACAAATGTACTTTCGTCTCCAAATCATATGCCCTGGCTTATAAGGAATTAGATGAGAGAGAGAAAATAATATGCAAAAGGGAGAAAATAATGTAATTAATTAGAAATAAAACTGGTAAAAATATGTTTAGTATTTAAATAATTCAAATTGATTTTTTATCAAAAAATAAAACTGAATCTTATAAAAAGAAGCGGATGAACTTAAAAATTTGAATTTTATAAAAAGGTATAACAGAAGTATTTAATATTGTATATTCATATTAAGGATTGGAGGTAATAATATCTAAAGAAAACAATTCGTTGATGTTTAAAGTCGGAAAGGATTTCTGTACATATTCCATGGAGGATTCCTATATGAAGAGGGCATCCTCGCTTCAGGCCAACTGGAACGCGTCTCTAGAGACGTGGGACTTCACTCCATCGGACAGCTGGGAATTCAACACGTGTCGGAGCACATGCTTACCGGATCTTCTCCTGCACGCGTCAACTTTTCGTCGGTATTGAGTAAATAACCCGGTTACATTGGTTATATGTTATATAGTGTCTGTTTGATAAGGCGCTTGAGGGAGTAGAAAATATTTCACAAAGATAGCAAGTAAGTTTGTAAATTTGAAAGTTATTTGTCTGACTTATGGGTTGAAAAGAAAAGAAAGCCTAACTCCAAGTTGTTTAATAATAGTGTCGTTGAATTCAACCACTTGTTTTAGGATTAGTCAATTCTATTTCTTGATAAGGGTGGGACAAAAAAAAAGATATAACTCAATCATATAGTGTTATCTTGACGTGGTGGAAGTTTAAAAAATGTTTTTTTAAATAGTATTGTAAAAACACTTAAAATTTACTTATAATTTATGTAAAAATCACTTTTTGGAGTTTAAAAATATGTTTGTCTTTATGTTTATATTGTTCTTATGCATTTCTCTCTATATTTTTTGTGCTTTCTAATCAGTTTTTAATTATCTATTTTTGACATTCTCTTAATTGAAAATAATTTTTAACCATTTTTATAATATTTTTAATTTTTAATATTACTTTTTATTTTATATTTATCTAAATTATGTAGAACATATCATCTAATTAATTATTTAATATTATTTGATTCAAAAATTTATATATTATTATGATTTCTAATTTAAATATATTTTATCGTTAATTATAACTTCTTCCTATTATAATAATTTAAAATTATTATATTTTGTAAATTTATATTTTTAATTTTTTTATTATTAAATAAAAGTCATATCCA